AAATTAAAGCAATTCTGATGATTAATTAAAATGGATTAACCATCAGTGTATTTTTAAAACATCAAAGTAGATTTATACAAATGCTTCACAAATCATATGTAAGAAAAAAGCCAAGTCCCTTCATATGAAGTGTTTCACTTCTGACCAGACACTCTAAATTCAGATGCCTTTAAAAATTATCCAGATACATAAAATACATAATAAACATAAAAAGCATAAATGCCCAAAGTCTAATATTAAGTATTCTTTAACAAATAAGTCCACCAGTAAAGTGTAATTACTTTACAAAGATATTTTAGAATTCATTTGCTAATTACAAATAAGGTGGATACAAAAATAGGCTAATGTCAAGTTCTCTTTAGACCTCTTTTAAAATACACATTATTTAGAAACATAACTAGATATGTCTAGGAGGAAAAATGTACATTTGTGGAGTTCTACTATATAACTCAGGTGTTTCACATATGAAGTCAAACCTTACTGTTACTACCACTTTGATCACTCAGTTATTATTTTCTGTATTTCAGAACTATTAAAGACTAAGTATTAAGGAACAGAACAAGCCAAATAATAAAAATGAAAATATAAATCATATGGTTAATTCCTATGGAAAAGAACAGTAAACCCATGCATTAACAACAAAGTAACTTTCTTTTTAAAACAAGATTCTTTTGAAAAGCACCAGTTACTTTATTTCTTTTTTTTTTTAAAAGATGACCGGTAAGGGGATCTTAACCCTTGACTTGGTGTTGTCAGCACGACGCTCACCCAGTGAGCTAACCAGCCATCCCTATATAGGATCCGAACCCGTGGCCTTGGTGTTATCAGCACCGCACTCTCCCAAGTGAGCCACGGGCTGGCCCGAGTTACTTTATTTCTAAACAAGAGACATCTTCCACTTTATGCCTTCCTTATATGGATCTTCTTGGAAATCAGATCCCAGTTACCTTCTTGACAATACTCAAACTAAGCACCCATAAAGATGTCATTAAGACATTGAAACCCAATACATACATCTGTTTAAAAAGGGAATTAATTCATTTTATATTTTATATACATTTTCAATGTTTATACAAACCACTAACACAAATACAAATTCCACCTTTACATATTCAAAGCATTCAGATTCCTACTTTTTAAAAAATTGTTTCCAGTTAAAATTAGGCAGGGTCTAGATTGAGTTCGTCACACACAAATACCCATGTTGTATCTACCACAGTGATATGTTTATAATGGACACTTAACAAGAACTGGATCTTGATTTTGTTTTACAACAAGTAAGCCAGACTGTGGTTGAAATAGAGTGTCCCTGGAAAATAACTGGGAAAAATATGGATAAAAAAAATGAAGACATTATAGCCACTATCATAAATATTACATCTCAGTGAAAAATGTCAAAATGTAAATGCCCAAGTACAATAAATTAAACAAGTATAGAAAAAAGAAAATTAAGTCTATCCATACCACACTGAATGCACCCCACCTTGTCTGATCTAGAAAGCTAAGCAGGGTTGAGTCTGGTTAATACTTGGATGAGAGAAAAAAGAAAATTAAGTCTATCCATACCACACTGAATGCACCCCACCTTGTCTGATCTAGAAAGCTAAGCAGGGTTGAGTCTGGTTAATACTTGGATGAGAGAAAAAAGAAAATTAAGAATTCATATCAAAAAATAGGGTAAGACTAAAAGTTGTGAAATCAGATAAGAATATTTAATTAATAAGTTATAAACTAAAAACTATGTTTCGTCTATGCTTCAATCACTATGGATGTTTCAAGCATTCTATGCCCTCTTTAAATGGCGTTAGATCTGCCTAAAAAGGGAATTAATTCAGGTACATTTGGCATTTTATATACATTTTTGATTGTTATGTATAACCACTAATCCGAATACAAATTCCACCTTCTATGCATATGGATTGTCCTCCATCACCAGCTGTGAGAATTAAATGAGATAATGGTTAATAAATGCCTGGAAAAGTGAAGTCCTTCCAATTTATAAGGGCTACTATCCTTCCTTTTGACCACTGAAGGCCTGAAATTAAATGGAAATCATGTTTATTCTTACAAATGTTTCAAGCGTGACACCTCTTTTCTCACTAGGGCCACTAGTTAACACAATTAATTATCCACTAATACCTACAGTATAAGCAAAGCAAAAAGATCTTTCTTCAACAAGTACATAATAGAGTATGGATTAAGCCATACTTCGTGGATTGTAATAATCACTTCCTAATACGGAAAGATCCTGGTGAGGAAGTGCACAGAAACCACCTCTACATTCTAAGGGCCTACAGATAAGACAACAGTCCTAAGAATATTTTTGTTAAGTGCTGCCATTTTTAAAATGAAATTGTTTTCATTAGGTTCAAATAAGCAAGCATTAGTTGTTGCAGGCATTAAAAGGTGCAAGAGAACTAAGCTTTCACTATAAAGAAAAATTCCTAAAAGAGGAAATAATACTTGAAATCATAGATCTCTATATTGAAGCCTGAAAGTTCATGAATGTCAACACCAAGAACTTTCTGTAGAAGCCTTTTCAATTTTCTCAAAGCATGTTGAAGTGTGTGGGAGGAAGGTGTTTAGTAAACTACTCACTGGTCAGACTTTACTTAAATTTATTTCATTAGTGAGAACTGGTTACACAGGCATTTTAAACAATACAGGGAAAATAGCATGACTATATTTTAAAACCTCACTGAAAAGAAATAGTGGCAACCTTATTCATACTTAAAAAAAATAGTCAAACATTACCAGGTATATTCAAGTTCTTAAAAAGTGGGAGCTTGTAAACACAGCAGTGGTAGAGAAAAAGAATTACAAATGTGAGATTATATTCCAAACCTAATCCCAGTTAGCATCTGCAGTAGGGGTTATTACAAGAGAAAAGGCTAACATATATAAAACCACAAGCAAATACCACTCTTCTAACCTATTTTCTACCCTCTTTAGAAATGTGTTAAAAGAACCACTGCTACATTTGAAATAAACCTTTATAAAGACTTATAAGAGCTACATCTATTTTTGTTATAATTTATCATTTTGAGTGAGGGAAGACAATAGTTCACAAGGTCACAAGTAGTTTCTTCACCCCCCCCCCCCCCCCCCATACCAAACACAAAAAATCATGAAAATCTAACAAAAGAATTAACACAGTGTTAGGGCAAACTGTAAGATATGATAGGGCAAACCAAGTAGTCATTTGAAAGGAATTAAACAATAGAAATATCTACTCCAAATATCAGATAAATCAGAAAGTCATTTATGGCCTCATGGTGTATTTAAAAAACTTTTCTGTTTATAACAGTGTCACCAAGTAAGCAGGCACGGGCTGACAGTTAAGAAGCAGCCCGCATGAGTATCATAGAAAATCAAGCAATAATGATTTTTAAAAAACTTTTCCAAAGCGGATGAACAAATCACAATGAATAATGGGTTTGTCTGTAGCAATAACTTGTTCTAACAGTACTTCACGAGCAAAGTGTCTTGGAAGAATTCACGTTTTATACATGTTTTTTAAAGTGCAAATCTTACAGCCAAAGTCCAAACGAGAAATCAAAAACAGGACTCCTGACAGTGAATTCCCTTTCAGGACATGCTCACTCTTGCTTCAAACGGTAAAGGAAAGTAACTTGCACGTATGATGAAAGTGAGTCAGGATAATACGGCCAGAAATCATAAAAAGAGAACTTACAATTGTGACTATTTTCCTATTTTTTCCTGAAAAGTTTCAGGTCAAAGCTCCACTGACTCAAAGCTTGAGAGAGTGCCTACAAAGCTTGAGCTTTGTACCCTGAGGTAAAGAGGCGCAAAGAAAAAGGAAGACATTACAGGTGGCTTCCAGGCTTGAAAAAAGTTGGGAGGAGTTAGCTCTATTAATTGTATCTAAAGTAGTGAATGGAGTAATACTATGCCGTAGTTAGTTCCTCAAACGATAATCAGCATCAATTAAAACATCCAAACTCAAGCATCATCAAACACCTCTTTACCAATGTTTTTAAAGAGATGTATGTTATCTGTAGGTAAACTTATTAATTCATTTTGAATTCCAACAGTCTGTGCTTCACGCTCAAGCTTCTAAATTCAAACCGCCTGGGTAACAGTTCCAGGAACTGATACCAATATCAGCAAAGCCTTTTCCCACATCCCCATTTGGGGAAAAAAAAGGGCGGGGAGAGGGGGTGGCCGACATTCACAATTCACCCTAGTTAAAAAAGTATCGACGATACAATGATTGAACTCCATCCACCAGAGGCAAATAAAAATCCCAACTTTCCACAAATCTTTTCCTACACCAAACTGAATCCCTTTATTTTCACTCCCGCGAAGAAGGTAATCTGGGATAAAAGCCGGGTACTGGGTATGATATTTAAAATGAGTCGAAGGAACTTAAGCTACAGAGGCAAAGAAAGGTAAACCAAATGGGCTGGGGGATGGGGGGGAGCCGGGAAGGGAAGGGAGAAGCCTAGTGGAGCAAAGGAAGTGGGAATCACTTCAAAGGAGGCAGCCCTGAGGGCTGCGGAGTAACTGAGATCTGGGTCCACGGAACCAGGCGTTTACGGAAACCAGAAAAAGGCTAATAAGGAAACAATGGGGCAGTGAGATGTGGAGCAAGCGGGGAGACGAGACGGCCCGGAACGGGTGGGATGGAAGAGCAGAAGGCTGCAGTAGACGGGAGAGGTAGGGGGTGAGAAGCTCTGTGGGGAGGCAAGTTGGCCGGGTGTGAAGAGGTGTGGTGGCGCACCGGGCAGAGAGGTAGGTGAGGGTCCCCTAGGAACCGGGAGAGGAGTAGCTTGTCAGAGATTTTTAGATAGGGAACAGGAGGAATGGAGGCCGTGAAGGCAGGTGTGATGGAAGCAAAAAGAACACAGCTCGACGGGCACAGGACTCGCAGTGCCAGATAAGACGCAGGGAGGGAAGAGGCAGCTGAAGGGGGAAAGAGAAGAGATGGGGAGAAGCACGCGGGTCGCGGGGAGGGGGCCGCGGGCGGCTTCACTCACAGTCCAGGTGCTTTTTCTTGGGCCCCATGATCTCGTGGGTCGTGGCCTTGCATACTGTCTTCGATACGGCGGAGCCGGTGACACTGTGTTGGGCGGCGGTGATACGGTCCGTCAGGCTCTGGCCGGACATCTCTGCGGCTCCTCCACCACCCCTCCCGCTCGGCAGCCGGCGGGGACTGGGACCCCCAAGCGTCGGAGGGTCCCCACCCCCCACCGCACCCCCTACCCCCACCGGCTTCTTCCCCGCCTGCCGGCCTGGGGCGGGGCTCAGGGCCGCGCGCTGCCACCCAGCCCGGAGAGAACCGGCTCGTGTCACCCGCGAGGTCGGACACGATGTCGGGCACTCCCTTGCCCCCGCCTCAGTTCAGCCCACCCCTTCCCTGGTCAGCTGGAGCCAGGCAGGGTAAGAGGGACAGGCAGCTGCAGGAAAATGGCGGCGCCAGGCTCCTCCTCGGAGCTTTCCGGGCTGCCCCCGGGTCACGTGGCTCGGGCGCCGCCCCTCCTCCCTTCTCCCGCCCCTTTTCCCTTCCTTTTCCTCTTCGACGCCCGCCCTCCCTCGCTCGGCGAGGGAAGAGCGGGGCGGCGCCCGCGCTTTACGTGGTGGAACCCGCCCGGCGGGCGCAACAGGAGGCCCGCCCCGGGGGAGTGTGCGGCCGGCCGCGTCACGTGACTCTCCCTGCCAACAGGTCGCTTGAGGCCGGGACCGCGGGGGTCACAGAGGGGGGCGCGGGGGAGGGGCGGCGAGGCCGGCGCGCGGGGGTCGGCGAGGCTGGCTTTCCCCCCGCACCTACCCCAGGGGTGTCCTCGTGTCTGTGGTTTAAACCAACAGTTTGACAAAGAGGAGTGCAGACGCCTGCACAGCTTCCCCTGAAGAAGGGGGTGTCAGAGCTCTGGCTCCCCGGGCTTTCCTAGCAGAGTCAAGAATGTGTTTGGAAACGCCCCCAAAGCCGTCCTCCTGACTTAAAGGAAAAGGCTCCAGTCGGCTTATTTTCTGAACCTGCCAGCCGACTTCTCTGTAGTGTGGATCTGCTGAAGGTCTCCATTTGCTCACCCCAGAAAGGTTTCGCTCCCTTTCTTTGAGAGGCTTGGAAATGTCACCTGGTTTTGTTTATCTCTACTCCGAACCTTGACACGTCGCTGCCCGTCTAAATTTAGACACTAACCGGCCAGTACTCATTACGGAGGGTGTCAAATAGGACAGGAAACACATAGCTTCACTGGAATTTGAAAAGGGAAGTAGTAGGATGATGTCAACAGCGATTAGCTTGACCCTACAAGGCTGACTTGCTGTGGTAATTAAAGATCCAGACCATAGAAGGAAGTGAGAGGAGTGGTAAATGGAGGAGTCCCATTCAAAGAGTCAGACATCACTACCTGCCATCTCTCTTGGTTTAGTCTTTCTTACATTTGGCCTCTTCTCTTATTGGGTGAGCCAGATTTCCATGGAAAGACACTGACGCTGCCTTGTGGGCAGTTTAAAGAAACTGTTACATCCTGAGAATCTGTTCTTTGCCGTCCGAAGATCTATTAACAAAGCCTTTTAAGATGTTATTATGGCCCTATATTTAAACTAGGGTTAGGGGAAGTTTAAAAATCTCTATGAACGTTGTTACCATGATAGTCATATGTAATCTTGCTAGTTTCAAATGAAATGCTAATATGCTCAGCAAGTCTGTGCACGCCATCTGCCAGCCAAATCCAAAATACTGTGCTTCAATCTGGTGACTCTCAAAAGATGCAAAGCTAATAGATATTTAACATTTTATGTATCATATCAGGAATTTTCTGGTCTCCTCCAATTCCCTTTCCCCCACACCCCCTCACTTCTTTCTTTTTTCACTATGGCTGGTGAAATTCTGCAGCACCATCCTTTTGCCAAGAACATACAGTTCTTAAACCAGCAGGCTTCACTTTTGTCAAGCCATCCTCAAATTTCACAAAATTGTAATGACTTCCTTCAGTGCATCTGCAATCCTCTGTGGTTTAAACCAACAGTTTGACAAAGAGGAGTGCAGACGCCTGCACAGCTTCCCCTGAAGAAGGGGGTGTCAGAGCTCTGGCTCCCCGGGCTTTCCTAGCAGAGTCAAGAATGTGTTTGGAAACGCCCCCAAAGCCGTCCTCCTGACTTAAAGGAAAAGGCTCCAGTCGGCTTATTTTCTGAACCTGCCAGCCGACTTCTCTGTAGTGTGGATCTGCTGAAGGTCTCCATTTGCTCACCCCAGAAAGGTTTCGCTCCCTTTCTTTGAGAGGCTTGGAAATGTCACCTGGTTTTGTTTATCTCTACTCCGAACCTTGACACGTCGCTGCCCGTCTAAATTTAGACACTAACCGGCCAGTACTCATTACGGAGGGTGTCAAATAGGACAGGAAACACATAGCTTCACTGGAATTTGAAAAGGGAAGTAGTAGGATGATGTCAACAGCGATTAGCTTGACCCTACAAGGCTGACTTGCTGTGGTAATTAAAGATCCAGACCATAGAAGGAAGTGAGAGGAGTGGTAAATGGAGGAGTCCCATTCAAAGAGTCAGACATCACTACCTGCCATCTCTCTTGGTTTAGTCTTTCTTACATTTGGCCTCTTCTCTTATTGGGTGAGCCAGATTTCCATGGAAAGACACTGACGCTGCCTTGTGGGCAGTTTAAAGAAACTGTTACATCCTGAGAATCTGTTCTTTGCCGTCCGAAGATCTATTAACAAAGCCTTTTAAGATGTTATTATGGCCCTATATTTAAACTAGGGTTAGGGGAAGTTTAAAAATCTCTATGAACGTTGTTACCATGATAGTCATATGTAATCTTGCTAGTTTCAAATGAAATGCTAATATGCTCAGCAAGTCTGTGCACGCCATCTGCCAGCCAAATCCAAAATACTGTGCTTCAATCTGGTGACTCTCAAAAGATGCAAAGCTAATAGATATTTAACATTTTATGTATCATATCAGGAATTTTCTGGTCTCCTCCAATTCCCTTTCCCCCACACCCCCTCACTTCTTTCTTTTTTCACTATGGCTGGTGAAATTCTGCAGCACCATCCTTTTGCCAAGAACATACAGTTCTTAAACCAGCAGGCTTCACTTTTGTCAAGCCATCCTCAAATTTCACAAAATTGTAATGACTTCCTTCAGTGCATCTGCAATCCATTTGTGGTTTGGTACCCAGTTTGCTGCCCTATGTCCATTGGGCAGTGGAATTACCCAATTCTCAAGATATGTTGTCAGCCATCATTGCTATTCTCCTATGGGTGCCTCAAATTTCACAAAATTGTAATGACTTCCTTCAGTGCATCTGCAATCCATTTGTGGTTTGGTACCCAGTTTGCTGCCCTATGTCCATTGAGCAGTGGAATTACCCAATTCTCAAGATATGTTGTCAGCCATCATTGCTATTCTCCTATGGGTCCCTGGCTGGCCCGAGCCTTTGCACTGGTAAACCCCGATCTGAGGTCAAGAGGAGCATGGTCTAGCTATCTATAGCTAAATATTTTATCCTTATGAAAAATGTAAAATTTATTCCTAAACACATAGGAGGAAACGCTTTTATGCACTACTATGAATGACATTCTAGGAAATTATTTCATTGTTACTTTTACCGAAGAGGTTCTTTCAAAGAAGGAGGAAGTTTGTTACCTTTTTAAAAAACTAGCTTCTGCTAGAAATATCCCTGTATTTTTTTCAAAGATACATTTTAGAAGTTTCTAAATATGTAAACAATCAATGATCATCGTAGAGGTTTATGTACAGTTGTGAACTGAAAGATAAGGAGAAATTTAGAAGATATGTAATTGTTCTAAGGATAGGAATTACGACCTACCTTATCTTAATATGCTTAAGTTTTTTCTGTGTTCCAGTTTCCTTGGTCTATTCAAGAAATACCTTTACCTGACAGAAGAAAAGGAACACCTAATTCTTCTTGGAGGGATCAATGAAGGTTTCTCAGGGGCATAGACACTTAAGCTGAGTCTTGAAGGATGATTAGGAGTTATGAGGGAATCAGAAAGAAGTTATTCTAAGCAGAGTAAACCACATATACAAAAGAACAAGCCATGTGAGAACTGCAAGTAGTTGTATACGGCTAGAGCATAGTGTGTGTGGCGGAGGTGGGATGGGGGGCATGAATAGTTATTTATTCATTCAGTCAGCAAGTAGTTACCAGCACCTATATATGTTGGTTGGTGTTTTAGGTTCTGAAGGCGTATCAGTGAACAAAACAGAAGTTTCCTGCCTTTGTGGTGCTTATTTTCAAGTGGGACATATAACAAGAAATAAATATGAAACAAATACAGGTAGTGACAAATGCTATGAAGAAAAATTAAGCAGGGTAAAGAATCAAGAATAAAAGGGGAAGAGAACTTTAAACTGAGTGATAAGGGAAAGTCTGTCTAAGGAGGTGACATTTGACTTGAGTGGATTGTGGGAGTTGGCAATGCAACTATTGGGGGAAGATCATTTCACATAAAGGGAACATTGAGTATAGTGGCTCTTAGGCAGGAACAAGATCAACTTGTTTGCAGAACAGCAGGAAGGCTGGTGTGGCCAGAGAAAAGAGTGAAGAGAAAGGCTTAGGAAACGATCTCAAAGATATAGCCAGATAATGAAGGGTTTATCAGGCATGTTGAGGAATCTAGATAATATCCAGAGGTAGATGTCCCATGTGAATAGACGGCTAGTCCTAGATCCTTGGAACAAGCCAATGACTGCATAAAGTAGGCTGTTTCTACCCAAGACCATTGGAACAAGACCCCACTGATTACCACATTCTTATGCTTATCCTGTGGCTTTACATCTTTATCTTATTGGCTATTTTATCCCCCTTCCTCTGGATTAAGACTTTGATTGTTAATGGACACCCTTGTCCTTTACACATGGTATACCCAAGACCTGTATCTTTACCAATTACCAAATATGGCACTAATTCTTCCTACACTGGTGAGGTTGAACAAACACTACCCAAACTAAAGTGAAAAAGACAATTGATTATATAAGGAAGATCCAAATAGATTATGGCACATACTTTCATTGTAAAATTTGAAAATCTAGGAATGTGGCTTTTGAAATGCCTAGCAAACTCTAATTTTTTTGTCTTAATATCTGTCTGCATTGCAGTTACCAGATGTATGATCTTCAGAGTCTTAAATGCTGTGGCACAGCTACTGTTAACACTAGATGACTTACAAAAGATCATTCAACAAAAAGAACAAGAAAACCTGACACTTACAATGGTCAAAATGACTACCATGAAAAACTCAGTGCATTGGTGCAATGCCAGTCTGGATTGATTATGTCCCAGAAAATAGTGTTATTTCTTCCAGACTGGGCTGAAGATCGACAAAAAGAAGGGGACTGAGAAATTAAGTAAGAACCATACTGATTTTTAAAATGGATCAACTGTAACTTTTCATGATATGCAACACAAACTATCAAAACTTTTATTGTCTTACAACCAACTTGTTTAGACCCATAGGT